TGTCTGTCTCTGTCTGTCTCTGTCTGTCTGTCTGTCTGTCTGTCTGTCTGTTTGTATGTACATGTGCACGTGATGAGGTACATATGTATGAGTGCATGCATGCATGCATGCATGCATGCATGTGTGTGTGTGTGCGCGTATGCATCTATGGGTCTATGTGTGTATATGCATGTATGTATGTGTTTTTGTATGCATGCATCTGAGCATATATGTATGCATGCATGCGTGCATGTGCGTATGTATGTGCGTGTATGTGCTTCGAAGTTTGCTTCTTTGTATATGTGCATGACTTCATGCTGCATGCATGCATCCATGCTTCTACATATGTATGCATGTATGGTATATATGATGTATGTATGTCTGCATATACCTATGTGTATATACATGCTTATATAAGCTCCACGACGGAAGACTAATTATGTTTGACTATGCTCGATTTCAGAAAAAGCTCCGTCACATCGTTGCAAATGCTTAATTGATGCATTCTGTAATCACAGCAAGCAGCTTGTTCTCCGGAACTCCCAGTGCCAGGCTCCGCAAGACCGCGCAAGCCATCTGCGCAAGCTCCGGTTCGAACGGAAAGTTCCTGCCCCACCACTTACGCGACAATTCTTGAAGGCTGGGGTGCACGTGGGGTTTCAGGTTCCCAAGGGGATTTATCCCTCGGCTGAGACTCCGACACCACATCTGCCCTACTCAAGCAAGCCACAATGATCACAGCATCAAACCGACCTGTGATGAGACAGCTAGTAAATAAAGACTTCCTACCCTCTTCATTCAAGAGGCAAGCTGTCAACATATGTTCGTATGGAAACATTGCTGTTGGACTTTGAGGTTTCGGAGTTTAGGGTTTGCTGTGTCCCGAGCCGATGTCAGTCACCGTTTCAAACGACGATGTAGATAGCTTCAAGCTGCTTCAATAACGCTTCCTCAGCTGCGCTGCAACCGCTTCCGTGGCCTGTGCGTTTCCTCAACCGAGAGAGCAATCCGTACAAGTTTTCCATTGGACTCTGTCCCACAAGCTTGGTAATCAGCCCACCCACAAGGCGAAAACCCCCGATACTACGCCAACTCCGAGAAAGAAAACCTGCTGCTGGAGCCACAAACTCAGAGCCACCGCCCTGAAAAAAGAACTGCAAAGATAAGAGAAGATTAGGGGTTCAGGGTCTTGGGCTTAAGTTTCGGGTTTAAAGGTTTTGGCTGCCTTCTGCCAATCGTGCATTCGCCGGGCCTACGCTGCGCATACCGAATTGTGCCATGAAGGTTGAAGGAAACACTGCATAGAGGAACGCTTTAACACCTCTCTATCGACTCTGGAACCATACCTGCAACCCCGAAAGCCTACTGTACCGTTTTCATGGCTTCCCTGTATTTCCACACTGTTTTATTTCGGGGGCTATAGGCAAGCCTAGACCCAAGACCCACATCCCAAATCCCAAAGCCAACACCCTTGAACCCGAAACCTAAGCCCAAAACCCTGAACCCCTAATCTTCTAATCCCGCAAAACGCAGCCTTAGAAACCCCTAGAAACGCCCGCAAAAAGACCCCTAACTGTAACACTAACCCTAGCAACCCTACAAACCTCTAAAAAGGATAGCCCTAAACCCTAAACCCCAAACCCCTATAAACCCCCAAAGGGATAGCCCTAAACCCTAAACCGTAAACCCCTCTATAAAGTTAGCAATGACCATTTCCATTTTCTAACCATGCCCACCCCCCTAGGCCACCTGAAGACCCAAAACCATAACAACCTATACCTCAACCCTAACCTCACCAAAAGACACATAGGAAAAACCCATATAATAGAACCATTAGAAGAACCATAGGTAACCACATAGAAAAACCCACTCTAAACCTCATACACCAACACCCCCATAGAAAAACCCAT